GGTCGATCTGAGACAATTTTTTTTTCGGGCCTCAAAAAAAAGCAGTGTATAACCTTCCTTTTTTACCAAAAATCGACTACACCAAAATTTCTCGGGAAAAGACTTTTTCTTATTTATTTTGGTGCGTAGAATCCAAACAATTCGTACTTTTTCGATTAGACTTCTTAATCAAAAGTTGTAGACTAGAAACCAATTTCGACAGAAAATTCAAAGGGCTGTAACTTTTGAACTAGTAGCCCAATCTTGGAAGAACTGTTTGAAATTATGGATTCCACAGGCCACATTCAATAAGAAATTTTTTTTTCGGGTCGATCTGAGACAATTTTTTTTTCGGGCCTCAAAAAAAGGCAGTGTATAACCTTGCATTTTACCAAAAATCGACTACACCAAAATTTTTCGAGAAAATACTTTTTCTTATTAATTTTGGTGCGTAAAATCCAAAACAATTCGTACTTTTACGATTAGACTTCTCAATCAAGGGTTATAGACTAGAAACCAATTTCGACAGAAAATTCAAAGGGCTGTAACTTTTGAACTAGTAGCCCAATCTTGGAAGAACTGTTTGAAATTATGGATTCCACAGGCCACATTCTATAAGAAAATTTTTTTCCGGGTCGATCTGGGACAATTTTTTTTTTCGGGCCTCAAAAAAAAGCAGTGTATAACCTTCCTTTTTTACCAAAAATCGACTACACCAAAATTTCTCGGGAAAAGACTTTTTCTTATTAATTTTGGTGCGTAGAATCCAAAACAATTCGTACTTTTTCGATCAGACTTCTCAATCAAAAGTTATAGACTAGAAACCAATTTCGAAAGAAAATTCAAAGGGCTGTAACTTTTGAACTAGTAGCCCAATCTTGGAACTGTTTGAAATTATGGATTCTACAGGCCACATTCTATAAGAAAATTTTTTTTTCCGGGTCGATCTGAGACAATTTTTTTTTCGGGCCTCAAAAAAAGGCAGTGTATAACCTTCGTTTTTTCCAAAAATCGACTGCACCAAAATTTCTCGGGAAAACACTTTTTCTTATTAATTTTGGTGCGTAGAATCCAAAACAATTCGTACTTTTTCGATCAGACTTCTCAATCAAAAGTTATAGACTAGAAACCAATTTCGAAAAAAGTTCAAAGGGCTGTAACTTTTGAACTAGTAGCCCAATCTTGGAACTGTTTGAAAGTATGGATTCTACAGGCACATTCTATAAGAAAATTTTTTTCCGGGTCGATCTGAGACAATTTTTTTTTCGGGGCTCAAAAAAAGGCAGTGTATAACCTTCCTTTTTTACCAAAAATGGACTACACCAAAATTTCTCGGGAAAACACTTTTTCTTATTAATTTTGGTGCGTAGAATCCAAAACAATTCGTACTTTTTCGATCAGTCTTCTCAATCAAAAGTTATAAACTAGAAACCAATTTCGAGAGAAAATTCAAAGGGCTGTAACTTTTGAACTAGTATCCCAATCTTAGAACTGTTTGAAATTATGGATTCCACAGGCCACATTCTATAAGAACATTTTTTTCCGGGTCGATCTGAGACAATTTTTTTTTTCGGGCCTCAAAAAAAAGCAGTGTATAACCTTCCTTTTTTACCAAAAATCGACTACACCAAAATTTCTCGGGAAAAGACTTTTTCTTATTTATTTTGGTGCGTAGAATCCAAACAATTCGTACTTTTTCGATTAGACTTCTTAATCAAAAGTTGTAGACTAGAAACCAATTTCGAAAAAAAATTCAAAGGGCTGTAACTTTTGAACTAGTAGCCCAATCTTGGAACTGTTTGAAATTATGGATTCTACAGGCCGCATTCTATAAGAAAATTTTTTTTTTCCGGGTCGATCTGAGAATTTTTTTTCGGGGCTCAAAAAAAGGCAGTGTATAACCTTCCTTTTTTACCCAAAAATCGACTGCACCAAAATTTCTCGGGAAAACACTTTTTCTTATTAATTTTGGTGCATAGAATCCAAAACAATTCGTACTTTTTCGATCAGACTTCTCAATCAAAGGTTATGAACTAGAAACCAATTTCGAAAGAAAATTCAAAGACCTGTAATTGGAGATCCAGCAGCATTTATGCGGGATTAATCCAGCACATAAATGGAGCGGGATCCCGCGGGATTTGCGGGACTGAGGAATTTGGCGATCAAGGAGACGACTCTGTGTACTTTGTTAATGAAACGCATAACTGAGATGTTAATTTTTAAATAATTGTTAAACTTTTTTCGTTAAAAAAGTATTATGATTTTTGAGGCACTTTAGAAGTTCACCTTTTTTTGAGTTCTTAAATAGGCTGAAGGTACTTTTTTGTTAAATACTGTGATAATTAGCGATTTATTTTAATACAGAAGTTAACCGCACAGAATTGCTTATTTGCAAATTTATTTAAAGTTTTGCGGAATCCCGCTAATACCGGGATCCCTCGGGATTAACATCTAACAATCCTGCAAATACCGGGATTGAGATTTTGCTGCGGGATTGCATTCCCTACTTACAATGCATTCAAAGTAATAATAGATGACCCGTCGACCTTCGTACCGCTTATCATACAATGTTGGGTTAATTGTAACTAAGATTTTTACTAAATCAGATACCTTGTTACCTTCGCGGCCATACGTCCAACCATTCCCAGAGTACCACCGGAGAACGCACGGCCCTTAGAAGAGGTACCAAAAATGAAAATTAATGTTTACGAATAAATCACATAGAGATGTTTCTAATTAAAATGTAAAATCCATCGTTGATAAGATTAGCTGACCCAGCGACCTCCTTACGATCATTCAATGTTTCGGCGACCTTATTAAAATGTCGTGTTAATTGTGTAGGCAAAGCAGAGAGTAAGTATTGTAATAATAAGAAAGATAACGTCTCCAAGTAAAACATAAAACAAGTTTAAAAAGTCATTAGGTATGCAAACATAAATGACGAGAGCGAATTTTCCTCCTAATAATATTAATGCTAGGACCAGGAAAAAATACCGGTAGGCACGACATCCTTACCCCATTCTCTTTCAAATGAGCTGCCTATCTTTTTATATATGCTTTCGTAAATAGCACTGCGCATTGTCTACATTAGAAATTTCATTGAATACCTTCATACGTAAAACATACAGCATGCGTGGCCTGCATATGATATTTCGTTTAACTGCTTTCATAAATAAGAAAGCTGCCATTGCGTATGCGCAAAACCAAATTTTAAAACTGGCGTTAGATTTCTTTGTATTCCAATCGCCTATGTATTAAATTTTATTTAAATGCTTTAGTAAATAAGGGAGTTGGCATTTCGCGTGCGCAAAAGTACAATTTGAGATTGTCGTTAATTTTACTTATATTCGTAGTGTTTACATGTAAAGTTTCACTTATAATTGCACAAGAGGTTTGTATTTTACCGAGTAAATTTGGGTTGTTAAGGTAACGAAAATCTGTTGCCTAGCAATTAGACGAGAAAAACTGTCAACTAATAAAAATGCGACACCGAAGGTGGAGCATTTTTAGGTTGACAGTTTTTCGAGTTCAATTGCTAAAAGGAAACAGATTTGAATTGCAACAACCCAAATTTACTCGGTTTAAATACAAACCTCGAGTGTAATTCGGCAGGACAATTTAACGAACAAGAAATTCACCAAACTAGTCAATTATTGACAGACGTCAAGCTAATCATATGGGAAAGGATAATGCGATAATTGTTCCAAAATGAATAAGTGAAAAAACCACTAGTGCATTTGTCGCTGGAAAAGTTGCAGGTAACTTTTGCCTCTGTCAAAGTGACAATTACACTGCGGCTTATGCGATTTTTTATACATGAGTTGAATTGTCATTTAAATATCTTCATAAATAAAAAAGTTAGCATTGCACATGCGTTAAACCAAATTTTTGACACCAAAAAATATGGGTAGGTATGCATTTGAGTAGATCGTCTTAGATTTGTCAATTGTCATGTTGTATTTAATGGGTAATTACTGACAGGATATTACCCTTCTCGTAGAAGATAAAAAGATGTGGTGTAAAACAATTTTTTTTCACTACTAGCGTCTGATGACATGATTATTAACCTTTTTTCCACTTGTAAAGTAGGCTTTCTCGGCATTTGTTCAAAGTGGTTAATAATTTTTTATTATTAACTAGTAGTCAATAATGAGAACTGTCACGCTGTCACTTTTAGAAAACACAACCCGAAATTTCGCTCAATGAACGTTTAGACAAGTTCTCTAAAACGAATAATTGCCACCATTCGCAATTTCCAGAGAAATTACATACCTAAAATTATCACATTTTGAAAAAATTCGAACGAAATTACTCTTTGAAAAATCTCAATGACAGAACAAAATACGGCCTGTTTGACTTGTACTTCCACGTACTTGATTGACATGTTAAATTAAGAAACAAAAATTCTGTCCAACCGTTAACTCTCTTATCAATATAATATGTTAATTTAGAGGATTTCAAGTGCTAGTAGTGAAAAAAATAGTATATATACCACGGTAGAGAAGTCTATTATTGCCTTCGCACCTTACACCCCTCGGCGCAAGCGCCTCGAGATGTAATCTTGGTGCTCAGGCAATAATACTGTACTTCTCTACCTTGATATATAATGTACTATTTCGTCGACCTCTCGATAACAATATAAATTACTCCTTAGTGACGAGTACAATGATGAAGCTTATTAATCGTTAGCAACCATTAATGGTTAGCAACCAACCATTATACGTTAGCAACCATTAATCGTTAGCAACCACTTATACATAACAACCATTTTATTAAAGGGAAATGACAATTATAAAACAATTCACTTGCGGCAACAGCTGAGAACTTCCATCCACATAACCATTTTAATCTCGGTTTTAATGTAGTGAGATCAGCAGCCAGTATGGTCGCCAAACGATCTCAGCAAAGCATATCCTGATGTATGTATGTGTAGCTCCTCGAATAAGGTATTGTTAAGGTATTCAGTTACTTTACCTTCAACATTGAGTACGTCGACCACAGGGATGAACATTTCCATATCTTTCACTGTTAATACACGTACTTTAGTACAGTTGCAAAAGAATTAATTACATTCTAGTACTAGATTTTTAAACGGTTAATTAATAAGTAAGGTTGCTCTTGACAACGTGCGCGAAATCGTCAACAATGAAAAAAGTATTTCGCGCACGTGACAAAGTTGAACTTAAACAGCAAATTTAATTAACAATCGGTTCAGTTGTAGAAAAAATATTGTATATAACGCTAGCGCGAAGTTATTTCATTTGACTGATATTTTAACTCATTCGCCTCGTCAAAATACCTTCAGTCTCAATGCGCGAAATTGAACTTCGCGCTCTTGTTATATAAATAACTATTAAAATCGGATGCCGATTATAAAAAAATTTATTAGGTACAGGAAACATTTACAGTTATTTACACATAAAAAACGAAATATGAAAGTGTAGCGATTGAAAATAATATTATTTTATTTATTTAAGAACTCGTTGTGTTCAAGTATGTCATCTCTATTCGTGTAGTTGCCAATTTCATTGTACCGAATCGGATAGGTCAGTTGATTTCCCTTGTCCCACGAAAAGAGTTCCTAAAACGAAGGAGATAGAAACATCGTACTCGACTAGCTCGATTACCTTATTGCGATGATTGTACCCGACCATGGTGGTTCTGCTGAAGGGGTTGGTGAAGCTTAAATTAATGTCTAGCAGACGGTTGTTGTATAAATCCAGCGCGAAACGGATTCGCGTATTTCTTTCGGTAACACTATCTATCGCGTACAGAACTCCGCAAACCACAAACATTTCGCCGACCAAATGATGGTCTATACTTATGTTCCATATGTATTGAATTTGCATGCTGGAAATATCGATCTAAAACAGCATCGATTGACGAACAAATACATTAGATAAAGGGCCTACCTTCATAACTGCAGTGTTGTTTGCGTCGGGTACAGGGAATACTACCCAAAGACCATTGTCATCCACGCTGAAGTCCAAGTAGTTGTTTTCCGTTTTATAAAGATAATTTTCATTCGTGACATTGAGTTTCGGTACACCTATCTCCATTTTGCTCTCATTATTCAAGAAGTACCGAATTATTTTTGGTTTCCCCAAAGCTTGATAGTAAAATGATCCGTTGTAAATAACGTGAGCATTTCCTTGGAATGGTATTTCTAATTTGTAAGTTCTGAACAATTGTTGTGTTAATTACTATTCCATTTCGAAGCGGTATTACTCACCTGGTGGCGTTGCTTTTGCGGAACACGTTTTTATTATCGAACTCGTACAATTTACTTGGTTCATGTTCGTTGGTAATCCAGTACTTTTCACCGTCTGCATCGTTTGAAGGAGATGAGTCCTTCATCCAGGAGCCGTATATCATGTTAATGTAACCGTGATACACCGGTTTTCCAACAGCGTACAGTTCGCAATCTAAAATTGAATCAACCAATGTAAGCTTTACAATAAAGGGGAAGGAGTACCCAAATTTCGACTCGGAAATCCTGGATACCTATCGGTTCCGTATTGCCTCAACTCCCATCGATATATTAGATCGAAGAGGAATCCAGAGCCGGTGCAGGATTTACTGGTGTGCTTAATGGCGGTGCATTTTTCGCAAGGTGGTGGTGGTGGACATAACTGTTCCAAGGAAACTATTTCAGGGGGTTGTACTCCAAAGACTGCTACGTTACTTCCGTCTAGAATTGGAGGTGGCGTGGCGAGTGTTGGATCGATTTCTGTAAAAGATCATTTTCTTAGTTTCAGTCTAGTTTTCTTATACATTTTGTACCGTCGACAGTAAAGGCGCCTTTGGTTATTCCTCTTTCATTTTTGCTAATGCAGTGGTACATAGTAAAGTCGTGGGGTAGAATTCTTGTAATATTTAGCACCATCTTTGCCTTGTATCCATTCCTTTCTTCATTGTTAAGTATTTTGTACTTTTCACCATGCTCTAATAATCGCCCATCCGCTCTTTCCCAGTACCTTAAAGTATATAGTGTTATTAACACAAAGTAAAGTGATGTTTAATTATATTAATTGTTTGATTTAGGGTAAAGACAGTTTCGTAATTGCATTAGGGGTTACTAGAATCGATACTGCGAATACTGCAATTAAGACATTAAGCAGCGTGCGTAAACATATCATGTTACCAATACATCAGACAGGAAATTGACTGATCCTTACCTAACGGACTCTGGAAAGGCTTCCACTTCGCATTCTAATACGGCGTAGCTTCCTAAAGCAGCCCCGATCACTTGATTCTTTATTCTTATCAGTGGGGGAACTGTCGACAAAGGCATTCCTTCATTTACATATTATGCAAGAATAAAACTGAGTATAGGGGGTTTAAATGATTGATTGCTTACACATTAAGAAAGTGAAGTGAAGATCGAAGCATGAAATATTGGATTACCGAAAACCTAATTCTCATCTTATGACTTATTGCGTAATAAAATTATATTGCCGGAATAAACCGATTTTCTAAAACGGATAGCTAAAAGTCGGATTTAACACTACCGATACTCCGGCGGCAAATAATTTTTTAAGTTAGCGTTTTCCTATGCAAACGGTCTTTTACAGGAGAAGAACCCTCTAAACGCTCGACAAGGAACAATAAAGTGACTACGTGGTCTTTTCTTATTTCATGAACTCTAAAAATGGCCGAATTAAGACTGTCCGTTCTACTAAAATGAGTTAACGGACGTTACGATCCACCCCGCTCTTATATACTTACAGTGAATTTCCAAGTTAAATGTGTGATTCGCCTGTGGAGGGACTCCGTTATCGGCAAGACATTGGTAACTTCCCATGTGAACACGATTGATTTGGGTTAGGTTTAAGGCTTCTCCTGGTATGGATATGGCTGAAAAGAAATTTACGCTAAATAGTATCAAGAATATTTCTAGGTTTTATTTGTACCGATGGATTTATGATTTAAATATTAGGTACCTGGAGACCACATCTCTTAATTTTCAGGTCAAATCGAAGTACATTTAAATCTCATTATAAGGGAACCCAATTCAGAGGTCATCAATGATTTAAAGTGTCACCGTATAACAAAAATCAGATTGCGTTTAAAGTGTAAATTAGTAAAAGAGATGGTCTGCCAGAATTTTAGTATTTAGAGCATTCCATAGAAAAGCAATGTCTTTGATATTTTCCGTGTTTATTTTTTATTAATATACCGTAATTCATTATTTTCGTTCTTGTCATTGTGCTGGACAGTACAAGATTCAACGAAATCCGTTTCTAGTAATCATTTCGGCTAAAGGAGGTCTCTTAAGCAAACCGAGAAAGTGGAAAGGTAAAGTATAATAAGTAAAGAACCGACAGAGGTAGTCACCGGCATAATTAACTTTATTTTTATATTTTTTATATTTTAAAAACCCACATGCACGTACTTTTTTTGTTTATCAGAAAGACTGATCTTTAGAAATTATTTGTTAGGTTTTATTTTCGTGTAAATGGGACATCAGTGTTTAAAGTAAACAGGTTTAGAAAGAAAATGATTGATATAGTTTTGTTTATGTGTGAAGTGATTCTCAATTCTTGCTGGTAAGGCTTAACAAGTCTTGAATGGTAATTTTGAGGGTTATTGCAATCATAAGTTTTAAGAAATAATGCGTTTTGGATTTAAATGTTTGAATTTTTTGCATAAATAAGTAAAATGGGAACTTTAAGACTGTAAAAAATGTTCTGCAGTGTCTTTTCAAGCAATTTTTGGTCTTGATGATGTATGAACGAACGAAATATGTGTCTACGTATTCATTTTGTATGGGCTTTTGTTAGTTAATTGCTTGAGGCGTCAAGATAGTGGCGACCAGGTACAAATTCAGTCTTCTTTAATAAAGCATTACATTTCTTAGCGCACCCCTCGCTCTGTGGGAACTACTGAATACTGATCGTGCATGTTTTGAATTGAGGAATTTTTAGGATATACGTTTTTTGAATAGATCAGTTTCCGATTAGGTTAGTGGGTATCAATTTCGAAGATTTTTTTAGAATCTCATTTTTGAAATTTTTAGGGAGAGCTCCCGTTTCTTTTATTTTTATTTTTCAAATCTCATCATTGTTCCGGTTTTCTTCGTTTAAAAAACAGAAGGGGGTACTGTAACGAGAGCATTTTATTTTTGGTAATTTTTTTGCGATTTTTCCCGTTGACGTATACGGAAGAAAAGTTTAAAAAGAATCAAGGTCTCAGGAACATTCAACCAATCAAATATTACTCTTTATTTATTATTATTTATTATCCCTCTCTTGTTCTGGGCCCTCAACAGGCTTGCACCCAATTACAGAGTGACCCGCATAATACTTTTTAGAGGTGCCTCATATCAAGTTCAAGTTCTTATTTTATCGATGTGATTTGACAGTGATTTTTTTCTTTTTCTCACATTGACGTCAATGAGTTAATTGCATTAAATTGGATCTGCCGACTCATTGTTGAGTTTCGGTGTTGAATTTTACAGTTTGGAAATAGGTCATATTAAGGTTACTTACATGAACTACGTTGCGAGCTAAGCAAAACAACCTGAATTTGCAGAGTGAGCATTTCTGTCGACAGCCCTAAAACCCGGTGAACCCATTAAAATCAATAACATGCCTCCGCCATTACTATTCGCAGTATTACAGTCGAGGCAAAATCATAAGAGATACTAGTTAGAGGTTAAAGATTCGCGTTTGGAGAGTCAATGCAGAAGATTCAATTAGCAACCGTTGAGTAAAATCCATATTACCATTAGCGTTTGTACCAAGCTTGTAAAAACAATTTGAAGTAGTTTTTCAAGGCGACCATAGTAGCCACTTTTTAACCAGTGGAAAAAGTACGTGGTGATAAAGTACACATTTAATTTTTGGAGTATTGTAAAAGATTGAATATTAGTTCTGCGTTCTTCGTGCATAAATCGAGACGAATAGTTAAAATAGTGCCAGTTCACGAGGGATTAAGTTGTTAGAAATCTATATTAAAGGATATTTATGAATTTTAGTGTGGGAGTTAAAAAAACTCGTAATCGTGTCGAGTTTCAGTTGATAAAGAACTCAGTCCGTGTTTATAAACAAACGAGCTTGTCAGCAGATTCCTAAAAAAATGTTACCGCGTATTGACAGTGTAGTCAAGTAAAAGTTCATATGCAAAACGAAATTACAACAAAGAAAACTGTTGGTACTGTGTGTACTGACCACCATAAGAATTAACATCCGGCGACATCTTGTATTTCCCCATCAATCGTAAAAAAGCCAATCCAAAGAAACATTTCTTGGAAGATATTCAATTGAAAACACCTGATACCTACCCCATATTGATGATTCAACAAAGTTAGCCGTAAGAATTTCAGATCTTCCACATCGAAGAAATAATTGTAAATGGAGAGGTTAGTCATATTTGTAGTATAGGCAACCTGACGTGTATACATGTAATGTAGTACCAGTGTACCACGCAACAAATAAACCAGTCTTCCTCTAGCACTCATGCCTAACACTTCTATTATTACATGGCGCAGTCGAACGGAAGAAAGAAAAAACAGGAAGTAACCTACAAATAGAAGCGTGCAAGAGTAATTCAACAATAATTGTTAAAAGGCTGATGTATGGTTAAAAATACGTAGAAATACGGCAGAAACTACTCAGTGTGCACAGCTCTTAACATTAATAGTGCTACGGGGGTTCCTTCTGGGCTTGAAAATTACCATCGGTTCCGCCCGGCAAGGCAAACCGTCTTCTTCTCAAGCTGCTCAATCGATAAAAATAAATGCTCCGGCTAACTCAAATCGGTGGGCTTTTAACTCTTTTGAAACTGCGTAACAAACCTTAACCTGCCGCCTACCAGTCTCCTGACGCAACTCCTACTCCGCTCTTTCCTTCCCCTCATTCTTCGTTAAAGACATAGGCACATTGAAACCAAATAGATAATATATTTAAATGATATTAGAGATACAAACAAATTACAGGGATCTAGCAGTTCTTCTCTCCTCCTTGTAAAAAAAAATAGCTTAACAATGACAACTACACTAAATAAAAATTCCTACCAGGTGAGACTAATTTACTCAAGGGGTGGCCATCCTCTACAGTTTGAAAATTTCAACAACAGGTAATCGTTTTTTACTCCAGCGTGGGCTGGGACTTATTTAAATAAACACAAAATTTATCCTACTCTTTGGTAATCGTTCATTGGACTTTAATAAACAATCAAATCAAAATTTTTACTATAGCTTCATTACCAAAAAGTGGAATTTTACAGAACGTTACAAATTTAATTAAACTAACCTTTACAACATTTGTACAGCCGATCTTGTGAACTGCTCTTTCCTCTGGTACAGGGTGGATGTGATGAAACCTGACACTTAGGTCTCTGTGACTTCCTAGGGGGTGGCTTGAAGTTAACACACGGAAACAAAATCCACGGTGCCTATCCTTCCTCGGAACGAAAGCAAAGTTTAGTGTTTGAACGGAAGCTTAGTCCAGGAAATCCTTCGCGTGGCGAGTGGGAGACGGCTAGTTGCCAAAGTTTCTACACAGCAGGTGTATTTAATTTAAACAGTGACCCCTACTATTTCCTTCCACCGGCTCTTAGAGTTTATTGACTTTGATTCGCCTGCGGGAGACGGATTTTTGAGTTAGCGGCACTGCAGAACACAAATTTTTATGATCACTATCCGACGGTAAACCGCGATTTGTTCTTGGGTGGTTCGACTTATTATTTCACCAGCTCTTCTTGGGGCAAATATCTCTCCAAAACGCAGCGCTCCTTCGACAAATGACCGTACGGCACTAGTAGGAAATTCCACCTGGGGCGGATCCCGAATATCGGCGCCTTGAGAACTAGGGCAGCACTTTGAATTATATATCCTCGAGAAATCACAACGTATCCTAACGCGATTCACTGCATCCAAAGGAAACTGGGGTGAAGCTCAAGGGTTCGCCTAAATATCACCTGATCGGAACCTGGGTCTTCGTCGCCAAAAAATCAACGCGAAAAGAAAATAACACTTCGAAACGGGTGCAAAAAGCACGCAACTGCGAGCAACCGAAATAAACCGGTGGCTCAAACCGCTAGGTAGGTACTCCCAAAAAACGATCACTCAAGGTACGTGTTGACCCCTTGACGTACTAACCGCGAGTCTCTCCAAAACGCTCACTCAAGGTACGTGTTGACCCCTTGACGTACTAACCGCGAGTCCCTCCAAAACGATCCCCTTCTTCAGAATTGAAATGAGAAAACGACACCCAAATTACCATAAAACAAAAATGGCTCCCGTTAGAAATTCTCCCATTGGTTTAGATAAAGAAGACTTAACCCACTCTAACTTCGTCGTCAACCTCCAGGAACTGCTGAATAAGCTGATCTCACGGTTTTCTGCTGACGAAATGAAAACCCCTTATCCCTTGATGGCTCGGTGCTATATCCGCTCCTATTCTCGGTCTAGACGGCGCCTTGGGTGATAAACGAACGACAAAATTCGCATTACTCATGATGACGTCAATCAACTTTGCAATCGTCCCACGACGAAATTAAATCTGAGCGAAATTAAATCTATCGGACCATAGTCTTGAGCGAACCGAAATGCCCAAACACAAAATTTCTAACCGGAACAAATAATGAAATATACAGGGTGACCTGCACTATCATGACAAGAAATTTCGAATTTTTTAATGAAATTTGGCGCGAAATAAAACCACTCGTTACAATAGGTGAGCAAGGCATGAGAATATTTAATACGTTTACGTTCATAGAGGGCGAAACGAATAAAATAGCAGTGTTGTTGAGTAAATTTGACAATCATTTTACTCCCAAGGAAAATCTTGCGTACGAAAGACATAAATTTCTAATGTGGAAACAGAAAGAAGGTCAAACGATGGAACAGTATA